AGGATCTGGCCAGCAGCAGTGTAATTGACTAGCAACTTCTTGAAGCAGCTGCCTGTCTCTTGCCCCCTCTCTGCTGCCGCTTCTTGCAGGCTTTGCCTCCCTGCAAAATGACGGAGGGTTCGGCCCTTGCCGCGCTGTTCCCCTCTGAGCTCCTGCCCCCGCTGGAGGCAGTGGAGGTCCTGGCAGACCCGTCACAGCTCCCCACTTCCACCTCCCCCCCACCAGAGTACCTCCTGATAGTCGGCATATCCAATAATCCGGCACCACCTGGGTCCCAAAGGTGCCAGATTATTAGAAGTCTACTGTATTGCATTATTATTGCTTCCTATTTGTACTGCATTAGATAATGCTGTCATAGACATTAAATTAAAAAAGACATATGGTACTAAGCCTTCTAATTCACCCTGTATAAGTGCAGAATTGTTCAATATGATGAATCCACTCTTGCAGTGAGCTCTATATGGTTCCATGTACAAGGAGCTCACTGCAGAACTGTGTGGGTATGTCTACATTGCATTCCTCCTTCGAGAGAGGAATGCAAATGCAGATAAGCGAAATTGCAAATGAAGCGCGGATTTTAATTTCCCGTGCTTCATTTGCATAATCGCAGACGGCCGCTTTTCCGAAATCGCGTATTTCGAGAAAACAAACGCGGTCCATGCAGAATTATTTTGAGAAAAAACCCTGCCTTCGAAATAAACCTTACACATCATTTTTTAAGGTGTAAGGGTTATTTTGAAGTCAGGGTTTTTCTCAAAATAACCCCTCCTGGACTGCGTTTGTTTTCTCGAAATACGCTATTTCAGAAAAGCGGCCATCCGCAATTATGCAAATGAAGCACGGAAAATTCAAATCCATGCTTAATTTTGTAATTTCGCTTGTCTGCATTTGCATTCTTCTCTCGAAGGAGGAATGCAATGTAGACATACCCTGTGTGTTGTATTTTTCAGTTCTTTAACCATTCTTTGAATCAGCAAAATGGAGTTGCTGGTTGCCAAATATAGGCACAGCCCAGGTGTGAATTTTGCTTACCCTATTTTAAAAAAGTAAAATTAGTCTATATTTAACTTATAAACATTCTGAAAAGTTAGTTTACTTCTTTGGGATAAATAGAAAATGGCTGTTGCCAATTTGAGATCCAGTGCAGTCCGAGGGACACTCGCTAATCTTTCCAATCAAGACATGTAAGTTGTAAGTTAATAGATGTAAGTTTGTTACCTTAATAAAATTGTAAACTATATAGAATGGCCACATTGTTGAATAAAACCTGTCAATATGAAAAGGAAGAGTAGCATTTCACTTTAGACTATACCTCATTGTCTTCCTCAAACCACAGTAATTCCTCATTTAACACGTGCCCGCTTAACACGTTTTCACGATAGCACGATTTTTTTTTTTTAGGGAACTTTTTTTGAATTACACGACTGTCCCCAGAATAACACGATTTCCCCAGCTGGCCCATTGCCAGTGGCTGCGCGGGGCTTCCCCTGCCTCCCTGCAAAGAGGTGGAGGGTTCACTGCTCGCTGCACCATTTCCCGGCGACCCCCCCCCCACCTCACCGGACGCAGTGTAGGTCCTGGTAGAACTGTCACAGGGGCATACTCCCAACCCAATCCCCCTCCCCTTTCCTTCCCTTCTCTTCCCCAGAGCCAAACACCTCCTCTCCCTGCTGTAACCCAGCCCCTTTTCTCCCCCAACCTTATGTCCCGGTCCCAACAGCCACCTCTGCTTGAAACGCAACCCTCACCTTTTCCATTATTTTCAATGGAAAAATTGACCCCGCATAACACAATTTCACTTAACATGATCATTTTCTGAAACATATCTATAGTGTTAAATAAGGAATTACTGTATATCCCACGTCTGTCATCCCTATTAACATGCCTAAATGTCCTAGCATCGATGGCTCTAGGACTACAATTATATGAACTATACCTACATCTCTGACAAGGTGGGCTATAATTATAACCTTTTTAACCATTCTGGCTTCCTTGTTTTCTCTGTAACCCACCCTTGACCCCCTCTCCCCCCACAAGATTCACTATACCTTAATTTGTTAAATTTGTCTTGGCTTTCAATTTGTTTCAAACATTTGCTTAATAAAACATCTTATCTGTAAAGAAATACAATATTTTCTAAGTATTTCTGATGCATCTATTGCTGTTGTATCTGATTTGTACATATATTATACATTTGTGTCCTTCCTTTAATATTGACTCCTGTTGATGATGGGTCTCTTGACATATCAGATATACACTAAGGTTCTACAACAAAGCCATTAAAGATGTTCATCAAGTCAAAATAGCATTGCAAAATATGTAAATCAGGACAGTTTTGGACCCTTCCATTTTAAAAGGGTTATTTTAATTGTTTTGTATTTCATTGCTTTACAGTGCATTTGTATAATAGTTGAAGGTATCAGAGATGGTACTTGGTCCTGCCATGAGGGCAGGGGACTGGACTAGATGACTTCTCAAGGTCCCTTCCAGTTCTATGAGATGGTATATCTCCATATATTATAGTTATTAGTATCGTATGGCCAAATTGTGAAACCTTTACTCAAAATGATAAGCAGTTATTTACGCAAGTAGTTTCATCAGAGTCAATAAGACAACTCAGATGAGTCACTGCTAAGAGATTCACAGTTTAGCCCAGAGGGTTCCAGCATAAGCTTATTGGATAGTCGAGTAGTGACTTGACTAGTCGCTTCCCCCGCTCCCCTGCTGCCTCCATCCGAGACAGCAAGTGGGGGGGGAGCAGGAGCCAGTGCTGGGGGGAGCTGGCTTAAAAGCCGGTTCCCCACAGCACTGTCACTACGGTGGGCAGGTGAGGCAGACACACAGCAGGGAAATGGTGTGAGCGGGGACCAAAGCAGTCCCCACTCACATTAGTTCCAACTGTAGCATTTCAGCCTTTTAAATGTAACGAGTCCCGTTCACCCGGTGCTCTCCCCTTGCTGCCTCTATGACAGGCAGCAAGGGCGAGGATACGAGCCAGTGCTGAAGGGAGCTGGCTTAAAAGCCAGTTCCCCCCAGCGTAGTCTCTAAGGTGCTGCCTCCTTTCCCCCTGCCTCTATCAGGCTGGTGCCGGAGCAGTGTCTATTCGCAGTGGCCAGGGGCTGATGCCGGAGCAGCTTCTTCACAGAGGTCAGGGCTCACGCAGATGCTGCGCTTCTCTATTTTAAATGTAGTAAGAGCCCATCAGCTTTTACTATATTTAAAGTGTAGAGCTGCAGCATGGTGGCACCTGGAGCTACCCTGCTGCACCTCTGCATGGAGGTCCAAATTGGGGATACAAATTGTATTGACTACACAATAAGCTTGGTGACTGCAATTTAACATCCTTAGTTCTAGTGGTCAAGGTAGAAATGCTCTTCTTTATTGATGCTTGACTCTGCTGTTCAGAAGAACTCAAAATACAAATAGGTACTGTCTAGCACACTACAGAAAATCAAAAACATTTATTCTTTATGCTAGCTCATTCAAACCCAAGAAACGTATTTCTCGTGCAGACCTGGGAAAATGCTGGTACAATCTTTTTGTGAAGGAGCTTTATGGCCTCCTGCAAGAATCATTTCTCCTGTAGTAATGGGAAATGCAGTGACACTGCACCTTGGCTGTTTTGCCTTGCTTTGTTAACATAGGCTGTGTCTACATAGGCACCCTTTTCCGGAAAAGGGATGCTAATATAGACACGGAAACAATGTATAGTGAAGATAAATAAGTAACTTTTTTTTAAAAGACAGACTTATTGAATTAACTTAACTTTTGAGATATTCTTGGCATTGTCACTAGAAATTGTGAACATATTTCAACTGGATTAAAAGGGTCGTTATTAGAAATGTCAGTAATATTGAACAAACTTGTCTTTTTAGAAAGTAAGGTTTAGTTTTAAAAGGTATGTTTATTTTTAAATTTCAGAATCAAATAGTTACATATGCAGGACCTTGTTAACTATTGTACTGACTGAATATACTATACATTGCAGGCAAAGACAGTTTGGTTAACAAAGACCATAGATCAAGTCCCCATTTTATGAAGACAAAATTGGATCAAATTTCACCTCTCAATACCTCCCTCAGCATAAGGTATGTTAACCTTTTTTAAATGAAATGTTCAAAAGTATTTGAATATATTCTATGGGAAGGTTATATATACATTCAAATTATATTATAAACACTTTTGGCTAGCACAAGGATGGAAACTTTAGTGCAGACGTGGCCAACCTGTGGCTCGCAAGCCGCATGCAGCTCTTGCTTCCCCCCCCCCTTCCAAGAGTGCAGCTCATGAAGGTGCTTCTGCATACACACACCCAAAATGGTCCCCGCTGGCTCCCCTTCCTGCCCCTCCCCTCCCACCTCCCGGCCGCCAGCTTCCCTGTGCTTTCCGGGTCAGAGCTGCAGGGTTTTAAAAATGGTACCCAAGATGGCGGCTGTCTTAGAGGGGCAGCCTCCTTTAAAAAATTTTTTTTGTTGTTTTTGCTCAACAATCCTGTTATTGGGGGGGGCTTTTTCTGATGATTCTGGTGTGGCTCGTCACATTTTTTCCGCTGCTATTTTGGCTCTCTTTGTTACATGGTTTGACTATCCCTGCTTTAGTGTTTCAGAACAATGGATAATTTTGCACATCTTTTATACTTGAGCACCAAAGTAAATAACCTACTTGCACAACTCACTCAACTATGTATATTAGCTATACAGGCAGTCCCCGAGTTACGCGGATCCGACTTATGTCGGATCCGCAGTTACGAACGGGGCCCTCTCCCTGGTCTCCAGCAGACCAGGGAGAGGAAGCAAAGCGGCGGAGCACGCGGGCAGCAGACAGCCCAGTCTGGGCTGTCCGCTGCCCGTGTGTTCCACCGCTTTGCTCCCCGTCCCCCTGGTCTGCAGACCAGGGAGACGGGGAGCAAAGCAGATCAAAGCCGCGGAGCCCGAGGGCAGCAGGACAGCCATGGCGCGTCTGGGCTGTCCCGCTGCCCCCATGCTTTGCTCCGGACGCCTGTGGTACAGCAGCTGGGGCGCTGCCGGCTGGTCCCGTAGCGCCGCTCTGGGCGCTACTGGACCAATCCGGCAGCACCCCAGCTGCTCTGCCCCAGGCGTCCCCAAGTCAGCCGCTGCTGAAACTGACCAGTGGCTGACTACAGGAAGCCCCTGTCCCGGGCTTCCTGGAATCAGCCGCTGATCAGTTTCAGCAGCGGCTGAATCTGGACGCCAGGTCCGACTTACATACAGATTCAACTTAAGAACCCCAGGCATCCCCAAGTCAGCTGCTGCTGAAACTGATCAGCGGCTGATTCCAGGAAGCCCGGGACAGGGGCTTCCTGTAGTCAGCCACTGGTCAGTTTCAGCAGCGGCTGAATCTGGACGCCAGGTCCGACTTACATACAGATTCAACTTAAGAGAAAACCTACAGTTCCTATCTTGTACGTAACCCGGGGACTGCCTGTTCTTGGAATTTCCCCATTTTTTTACATTTGTTGGACTCTTAAGAAACTTTATTAAATTAACAGAATATTTCCTTTTTATTTTTAAACTGTAGCATAATATGCATAAGATGTTTTAGTTGACATTATCTCAGCTTCACAAATCCTTAGTATTTTATGGTCATTGTATCAAATGCTAACTGTAACACTTTCATGCAATACGATATTTATAATATTTGCTCTTTCTCGAGTGATTAATCATGTCCATTCCATGTAGGTGTGCGCATGCTGTGTGCACTCGCCATCGGAAGTTATTCCTTTAGTAGTATCCGTTGGTCTGGCAAGGGAGCGTCCTGGAATGACACCAGTATATCAGCTAATATATACCCTTGCTGGCCCTTCACTGCCTCAGTTCCTTCTTACTTCTCGTGAAGGTCTTTGGAACATGTCTTTGCTCTTCCTCTGCAAGCGCCTCTTAGCAGTTCTTCTTGTTGTTTTAGTAGTTAGTTAAATAGTTTTCAGTTCATTGTTGTTATCTAAGGTTTTATTAGCTATGAAGTGTTCTTAGTTTTAAGTGCTCAGGTGTGGGACTCGCTTCGTGTCCCCAGTGTGCTTGGTGGGGCATACGCAGGCCCCACAGCTTCAAGCCTTGTGAGAAGTACCAGAAGCCTATGCCCCGCCTTAAGTGCTTGGGAGAAGCCCCCGTCTCCGAGGCCTGTAAGATCTGCAAGGCCTTCAAGCCGCATACCAAGCGGGAAAAGGAGTCTTGCTTGAAGATTATCCTCATGGAGGCGGCCTTATGTCCGGCACCGGTGTCTGATCTGGCACTGGCGTCAGTGCGTGAGGCACCTAGCCATTCTCGCGCCTCCCTGGTGCTGCGCAGGCCTCTTTACCAGGTGCAGATCCTGGTGTCTCAGAAGAATGGACCTAGCAGGGGCAGGTCCTGGTCAAGGCATGTGCCCTCTGTGTGCTCTCAAGTGGGGCATGTGGCACTGACGGACACGGCACCAGAACCTTCGCAGTCGGATCGGCATCGGTTAAGTCCACGACATGATGCCAGCCCAGCAGGAGTCTTTCTAGAGCCCTCCGCTTCCGATACTTGTTTTGAGGCAGCAAGAGAGCTACTTAAGCTGACCTCTTCCCTGACCTCTTCCCTGACCATGGACCCGGCGAAGAAACGAGGATCCAGCCAGCACCACCCCACGACCTCGGCACCCAGCACTCTGGCCCCGGATGCTGAGGGATCCCATCATCCTGCCCCGGTGCCGATAACCTTGACTCCAGTCCCGGGTGAGACACTGACTCCACCCTCAGCACCTGCCATAGCCCCCACCCCTTCTCTAGTATCGGCACTGACATTGGAGTCAGCACTGATACAGGAGCCTAAAGCGGCACTGGCTGTAGCACCAGGCCCTGCAACTGCCAGCCGTTCTCCTTTGGGCACATCCTCCTTGGCCCTGGAGGAAACCGGAGTCAGTGGCTCAGTACGTCCCTTCTGGGAGGTCGCCAGCTGTCACTGCTACTGCACTGCAATGGTTGACTTCGGAGTATTCAACAGACTCCGAGGTGGAATCGGTCTGGCCATCCCAGGGCTCCAGGTCTCAATCCAGACATTGGTCTTACTCCAGCCGCTGTTCTCGGCACCTGGTGCCTCGGTGTAGCAGCAGTGGCCTCAGCCTACCCCAGTGTCAGCATTACAGCAGCATTGGCCACCTCCGGTGCAGGTTTCGACCCAGTGTCCTCTTTGGTCCCCCTGGGCCTACCATCAGAGCCAGGGGACGAGACCATCTAGACCAGTTGGTCTTCTTGGGGCTAAGGACTTCCCCCTCGGTGACTCTGTTGACTCCCTCCCCAATGTTGGGTCAATCCCTTCCCCCGGGCCCGGCTTCCCTGGAACATCACAGGAAAGGGAGCCTCTCACTATTCAGCCCATTACTGTAGCCTCTTTGGTGGTGTCACAAGCCCCATCATAAGTTCAGGAGCTGGAGACAGTGGGCATGAAGAGGTCCTCTTCCTCCTCATCTACTGATGTGTTTGGTGGATCTCTTCCATCCATGTTCTTCATAGACTCGAGGTCCCATCAGGAACTTCTTCGCCAACTGGCTCAAAGTTTGGGAGTCTAGGCAGAGAAGGTGTTGAGGATTCGGACCCTACAGTCGACATCCTTCAGGCTGACACCCCTACCAGAGTGGCTCTGCCGGTTAATAAATCTGTGACCTCAGTCTCTATCCCATTGACAGACAAGGGGGTCAAGCGAAGGTATTTCATTCTACAGGAGTGGAATGAACATCTTTTTTCTCACCTGCCTCCAGGGTCCCTGATTGTTCAGGCTGTGAACCAGAAGGAGAGGCAGGGCCAGCCAGATGCCAACACCTGAAGCAAGGATGCCAAGAAAATGGACCTTTTGGGCAGAAAGGCCTACACATCTGGGAGTCTTCAACTTCACATAGCGAAACAGCAGGTTGTGCTGAGTCACTATGCCTATAACACCTGGCTGATCATGGACAAGTTTGCTGAGCTGGTCCTAGGGAATCTCAGCCTGAGTTTAGAGCCCTAGTGGAAGAGGGCAGGGTGGTTTTCTAGGCTGCCTTCCAACCAGCCGTGCATGCGGCCAATGGAGCTGCCTGTGCTATGGCCTCAGAGCTGGTTCTGCGTCGCAGCTCCTGACTGCAGGTGTCTGGAGTACCCCCGAGCTCCAGACCACTATTCAAGACCTTCTGTTTGAGGGCTCATCCCTCTTCGAACAGACCAACCAACATCTGTACAGTGTTAAGGACACCCAGGCTACCTTAAAGTCCCTGGTAATTCATACCCGGCTTAAACCAACAGCGTTCCCTATCGGTCAGGAACACCCCTAGGCCCTCTTTGTAGGGCACCCGCCTCAGTTTCTCCCACCGAAGCAGGAGAAATGGCAAAGGGGGGAACGGCAGACGCTGATCCTGCCCAGCCTTGGACCATGGTCAGGGCCCATCCAGCAAGCCCCCAGGTCTCTGTCAAGGGTTGTGAGGGTATGCTTAAGGACAGCATAACAGCCACACCATTCCCATTCAGGCACCGCTTATTCCCTTTCTGCCAGGCCTGGGAATCCGTTACCTCAGACCGTTGGTTCTTGGAAACAGTATGTGGGGGAGATATGCCATCCCCTTCCTTTCAACCCCTCCCTCCCCCAACCTGCCCATTCCCTCTTCAGGGACTCCTCTCATGAGCATCTCCTTCGGGAGGAGGTCCAGCAGCTCTTATCCCTGGGGGCGGCTGTAGTGGTTCCCCAGGGTTTCCTAGGCAAGAGTTTCTACTCCTGATACTTTCTGATCTCCAAGGCCAAGGGAGGGTTTCGGCCGATCCTGGACCTCAGGGAACTCAAAGCCTTAATCACCAAGGCCAAATTCAGGATGGTTACTCTGGCGTCTGTCATTTCCTCCCTACTTTGCTGAGACTAGTACGCTGCCCTCGATCTAAAAGATGCCTATTTCCGTATTTCCATTGCACTGCACCCCGGGCGATTCCTTCACTTTACGGTGTGCCAGGACAACTACCAGTTTACAGCCCTTCCTTTTGGCCTTTCTATGGCTCCTTGGGTGTTCACGAAGTGTATCGCCATTGAGGCTGCTGCACTGAGAAAGCAGGGTGTCCAGGTATTTCCCTACCTGGATGACTGGCTCCTTCAAG